TTCTTTCTTTCTTTCTTTCTTTCTTTCTTTCTTTCTTTCTTTCTTTCGTAGGGTCAGCTCAGGCCCTTGGATTTCTAATCCTCATGCTTCTACCTCAAAAACACTGGGATTACAGGCATGCACCCCTATGACTGGTTTACACCGTTCTGGAGGTTTTGTGTAAACTAGAAAAATATTCTACCAGTTGAAATGCCAGTATCTCAGCCCAGAGAGAGGGGGTGGGGGGAGCTCGTGTTTTTGTGTGTATGTGCGTGTCTAGGCAGAGGTCCATGTTGGATGTCTTCCATCACTCTCCACCTCATTTTTTGAGACAAAGTTACTCACTGATTCTGGAGTTTGTTGACCTACTCATTTAGACTATGGGCCACCTAGCCCTGGGGGCCTTCTCTGCAGTGAGATTACCAGTGTGTGTGTGTGAGGCCTCGGGGAGCGGGGGGGGGGGGGGGCTTTATTTCTCGAATTTTACATGAGTTCTGGGGATCTGAACTCAGGTCCTCATTCTTGCACTGCAAGCTCATTACCAAATGAGCCATCTCCTCCTAAGATACTTCTTACGTAGATGTCAGCCTTTTATCATTAATTTATTTAATCACTTCACAGCTTTATTGAAGTCCCTTTCCTCCTCTCCTTGAAGTTCCACCGTCACACCCCTCCCTCTATCCCCCTCTCCTCTTCTCTGAGGCCCCCCATGGGTACCAAAACACCCTGTCACATCAAAGTCACAGCAGGACTAAGTGCATCCTCTGCCACTGAGGCCAGCCAAGGTAGCCTGGCTAGCTAAGATACATGGAAAAATCAGAACTTGAAGAAGGATCTATACCTCAAATTTAGCATCCAGGTATTAAGACAAGCCAGTTTAAAAAGTGTATTTTCAACTGTTTACTGACTTTGAAGTCAAACAGTTTCATTGAAATAATACACTAATACAAATTATTATCAAATCTTTTTTTCTAACAAAGAAAGAACTCCCAGGTGGTGGCATATGTTTATATAATCCTACTCTTGAGGAGCTAGAGGCAAAATGATTTCAAGTTCAAGGGCAGCCCAGGCTTTATAACTCTCAAAAAACAAAAACAGGGCTGAAGGGGTGACCCAGCTGCTAAGATCGCTGGCTGCTCTTCCAAAGGGCCTGGGTTCAATTCCCAGCACCCACGTGGCAGCTCACAACTGTCTGTAACTTCAGTCCCAGAGGATCCAATGCCCTCCTCTGTCCTTTTCAGGCACTGCACACATGTGGTACAAGGACATACATGCAGGCAAAACACCCACACATGTAAAATAAAAATAAGTAATAATTAAAATTAAAAAACCCAAAAGAACACAAAGAAATATAACAGATCAGAATCTGAAATGTTCTTGTGCAGACCTTACCAAGCCTTCAGTGTCAGAAGGACAAATGTTGCATGTCTTTTCTCATATATAGAATTTAAATAAACAAGCACAAAACCATGTCGAAGATGGGAGGGGATCCAAAGAGGAGGAACTTGTGGTTGATGTCCTAAAAGCAAAGAGATGAGCCCATCCCTATTCCTTTCTCTCACCTGTGACAAGGTGCTGCAGCAATTTTGAACCAGGAGCCGTCACTAGTCACAGAGAGTAAGCAGTGTGCAGAGGGACCTTCTGACAATTTCATGGACTGGCCTGTGTGAGTCTCTCAGTGGCCATCTCCAGACTGTTATGTGTAAGAAAAAGAAAACACTCTGTGTTAAGTCTCGGCTAGTTGAGGTTTTTGTTTAGTGTAGCTAAATCTATATCCCAATGAGTGCAAAACAACTTCCTTCTTGTTTTATAATATGAACATGAACAAACCAAAATTGAAGATGGGCTGGAAAAAAAAATCTATAATATTCACTTTGGCAGTTAATCTGGTAATCACAGTTTCAGGGTTTCCACCGTATAGAACTAATAGACAATGATTTTTGAAACAAGGTTTCATATGGCCTGAGCTAGCCTTAAACTTATTATAATCTTCAACTTTTTATTCCCCTCCCGGTCCTGATGGTTGAGATGGTCGGAGATGGCTAATGTGCGCCTCCACACCCGGCTCGATGATAGTAATCTCTACCTTTAATTTCAGTGATGCGTGTGTCCGTGTGTCTGTGTCTGTAGGGTGGTATGTACTGCTCTCAGAGGCCAAAAGTGGACATCAAATTCCCCGAAGCTCGAGCTACGGCTTGTTGTGAGTCATCTTAACGTAGATGCTAGAAAGCAAACTTGGGTCTTCCGAAAGAGTACGGCTGTGCTCTGCACTGCTGAGCCATCTCTCCAGCCCCAAGAACCTTAGATCATATGGCGACACTGTTTATAACAGCAAATGTGTCAGGGTGGGAGCAAGCATATTATGGTATGTTCATGCTATGAAATAATGTTTCTTTTTAGAAATTAATTAATTGACATCCCAACTGCTGCATCTCCCTTCTCCCCTCCCCACCCCCCGAGACCTTTCCTCTCAGCTCCCCTCCAGTCCCCTATGCCTCCCTCCCTTTCTATTCAGAGGAAGGTAGACCTCCCACAGATAGCAACTCAACTTGGCGCATCAAATTGTACTGGGACTGGGCAAATCTTCAATAAAGGCTAGATAAGGCCGGCCAAGGCAAGGGATCTGAAGGCAGGCAACAGAGTCAGAAGCAGCCCCTGGTCCTGCTGTTAGAGGTCCCACATGAGGACATTTGTTACATATGTGGGAAGGCTTAGGTCTGTCCCATGGATGCTCTTTGGCTGGTGTTTCAGTCTCCGTGAGCCCCTGTGGGCCCAGGTTAGTTGATTCTGTAGGTTTTCTTGTGGTGTCCTTGACCCCCCCTGGCTCCTACAATCCTTTCTCTTGTCCTTCAGGATTCCCCAAGCTCCACCTAATATTTGGCTGTGGGTCTCTGCATCTGTTTCCACCAGTTGCTGTGTGAAGCCTCTCTGATGTCTGTTATGCTAGGCTCCTGTGTGCAAGCATAGCGGAATATCATTAACTGTGTCAATGCTGGGTGATGGTGGTGCATAATGTATAGTTCTATAACGTATGATACTGCAAAACAAACAAAAAACGAACCGATATCCATTGAAAAGGGAAACAGTCATGATGTATTGTTAAAGTTGAAAGTTTGCTTTTCTTTCTTTTAACTATAGTTGACTATGTATATGATGTAACATACTATTTAAACTACTATTTGATTATAGAGTTAAGTGACATTATGTATCTTCACAGTGCTGTACATCCACTGTCACTATTCATCTTCATCATTTCATGGCAAAACTCATCCATTGACCAGGAACTTCTCTGTCTTACATCCTGTCTCTGTGCCTTTGACGGCTGAAGGTGCTCATGTCATTGGAAGTCTGTATTACTTGTCTTTATGTGTCTGGCGTGTTTCACTTAGCATAATATTTTCAAATTTCATTCATATTCCCTCATATATCAGATTTTCATCTCTCATGCTTGGTAATATTCTGTTGTATATTTATAAAACATTTAATTTATATATTCATCTCATGGCAACTATTTGGATTGTTTCTACATTTTGGTTATGAACATTTGTATACAGATATCTGAATCTCTGCTTTCAGTTTTTGTTAATACACCCAGAATCTCTCTGTCTCTCTTTGTCTCTGTCTCTCCCATCTCTCTCTTCTTCTGAATTCCCTAGCAGGAGATCTTCTTGCCTCTACAGCCAGAGTGCTAGATTTACATCTATTTATAATAGATGTGTTCAGATGTGTTCTACTATGTCTGGTTGACACAGTTCTGGGGATTGAACCCAGGGCTTCATGCTAGGTAAGAATCCTACCTACTGAGCTACATCCTTAGCACAACTGTTCTTCTCTCTTCTCCCTTCCCCTTTTCTCTCACTAATTATACTCCTTGATCACAAATACGTTTCTAGATATTTACTCTTCAGGATGCTGTTGTAAG